GTATATATATATGTTTGTATATATATAAATATTTATATATATATATATGAATTCGAATGTATACATACGTTAATATTTATATATATATATACATATATTTATATATATGTATATATATGTATGTATATATATAAATATTTATATATATGTATATGTATGTATATATGTATGTATGTATATAAATATTTATATGTATAAACATTTATATATGTATATATATTAATGTTATGTAATATCAGAAGTTTAACTTGGAGCAGTTGGATGATTGTCAATTGGAACTCCAGGGTTAAGGAGGATTGAGCTGGAGCAGTGGAAGGATGGGTGACCTACTGGGAAGTGAGTTGCGGGATCGGGATCGGGATAGATGTCGGGGTCGGAGTTGGGTCAGGGGATCGGGGTCGGGGCTGGAGGATCGGGATCGGAGCCGGGGGTCGGGATCGGTGCCGGGGGTCGGGATCGGGATCGGGATAGATGTCGGGGCCGGGGTCGGGATCGAGAATATATTTTGAATTTTTTGTTGGAATGTTCCAACGGATTGCGGTTGGAAATTCCGTTGGAAAATTCCAACGGATATCGGTTGGAAATTCGGTTGGAAAATTCCAACCGATAAATCCGTTGGAAATCCGTTGGAAAATTCCAACGGATTGCGGTTGGAAATCCGTTGGAAAATTGCAACGGAAAAATTCGTTGAAATTCCGTTGAAAATTCCAACGGTTTTCCAACGGACACCGTTTTCTAACGACGAAATTCCAACGGATTTATCCGTTGGAAATCCGTTGGAAACGTTAATTTCCAACGGAAATTTGGTCATTTCCAACGGATTTGCCCGTTGGAAATGACCATTTTTTTTGTAGTGTATCCCAAAGAATTCTATACATCAACTTGGGATACAATTGGCAAGGATGTTACTGCTGCAGTGAAAGACTTTTTCATCTCCTGTCATTTGCTTGGGCAGACCAACGCCACTATGATTGCTCTAGTGCCAAAGACTGCATCGGCTTCTGCTCTAACCGACTTTCGGCCGATCAGTTGCTGCAATACGATATACAAGGTAATCTCAACGATCTTTGCAAACCGTTTGAAACCTGTCTTGATCCAGATGGTCTCTCGCACCCAATCAGCTTTTCTTAAGGGGCGCCTCATGGTCGAAAATGTGCTACTTGCTGCGGAGATTATTAAGGACTACAATCGCAACACGGGGCAGAAGAGTGCTATGATTAAAGTGGATATCCGTAAAGCTTTCGACACCTTGGATTGGGGCATAATAATACAGATAATGCGGGCTATCAATCTACCTCCTAGACTGATTACGTGGATAAAAGAATGCCTAACTACAACCAAATACTCAATTGTTGTCAATGGTGAACCAGCGGGATACTTCAAAGGGCGAAGAGGCTTGCGTCAAGGCGACCCATTGTCACCGTATCTGTTCATCATGTCGTTAGAAGTGTTATCTAGGCTGCTTGATAATTCAGCTACTCGGGGAACGTTGGCTATCCACCACCGATGTCGATCACCTCTGCTGACCCACTTAGCCTTTGCCGATGATCTGATGATCTTCTCCAAAGGTACAGTCTCTTCCTTGCAATAAATTAAGCGTGTGTTGGAAGAGTTTAAGTCTGTCTCTGGGTTAGAGATGAACAACGACAAAACAGAGCTGTTTCTAGGAGGAGTTCCAGATTCAGAAAAGGCTCAGCTAGCAGATGCACTTGGCATCAGATTAGGTTGTCTACCTGTTAAATACCTCGGAGTGCCGTTGAATCCCACGAGGTTACCGCTATCAGCTTATCATCCGTTGATTGACAAAGTAAGGAGGAAACTACGAGGTTGGGTGTCAAAGTTTCTTTCAGCGGCAGGGAAAGTACTACTAATAAGTTCGGTGATCTACGGTATGGTCAGCTACTGGAGCACTATTTTCCTCCTCCCGAAATATGTCCTCAAGGAAATAGATTCTCTATGCTCTTCATTTATATGGAATAGCACAGGGGAAAAGGGGAAAGGATGCCGAATATCTTGGGAGTCTATATGTAAGCCGAAGAAAGAGGGGGGTCTAGGAATCAGAAGGTTAGAGGAGCAGAATGTTGTTTTCCGGTTGAAGCTTATTTGGTTGTTGCTAAGTGAGGCTGGTTCTATTTGGGTGGCCTGGGTTCGCATAAATATTTTCAGAAATTGTAGTTTCTGGGACTGTACTAAATCATCAGTGGCATCATGGAACCTCAAGAAGCTTTTACAACTGAAGGATCAAGTTCGCCCATATGTCAAAATGCAGGTTGAGGATGGAAACGATACCTTTTTTTGGTTTGACAAATGGCTGAACTTGGGTCCTCTCATTGATACCATAGGGGACTTTGGGCCCCGTTTGCTCGGACTACCTCGGTCTTCGAAAGTTAGCTCGGCGGTGAGTGATAATGGTTGGAAGTTACCGCGTGCCAGGTGTGAAGCAGTTCGCGTCTTGCTGGAAGCTCTAGCTTCTACAGTGCCACCGAGGCAAGAACATGGGAGAGATAAGGTCCTTTGGAAGTACAAGGATGATGACTTTCGGCCCTCTTTCAGCTCGTCACATACATGGCAACAGATTAGAAGCAGGGCGCCATCAGTTCCATGGCACTCAATGGTATGGTTCACCGAGGCAGTCCCACGTCATGCGTTTCTCATATGGCAGGCAATACAAGGCAGGCTTCCTACCCTAGATAGGCAAAGATCTTGGGGGATTCAGTTGGCAAATCGGTGTATCCTCTGCTGTGCAGCTCCTGAAAGTCATTCTCATCTATTTTTCACATGTTCATTTGGCTTGATGGTTTGGACCTATTTCGGTACACGATTCAGGTTTGTCCCTCCTTCGAGCTTTTTTGATGATCTCCTGCCGGTTGGAGATACTAGCGTGTCGAAGCTGCCGAAAGTTGTGCAGCAACTTCTCCGACAGTTAATGATTTACGAGCTTTGGCGAGAACGGAACCACCGCACTCACCGGAGCGAGATTAGAACTGCCCACCAGTTTATCTCTTCGATCGACAAGTTGATGCGCCAAATTCTATTCTCGCTGAAAACTCCTACTACTTCTCCAAGGAATATGCTACTGCAATATTGGTACGCTCATCCACCGTAGGCTTTTGGAATTGCATTCGGATTCGTATTGTTTTTTGTACCACTTCCATATGGAGATCCCTCTATTCTCTCCTGTAATTTATCACTTGACAGTGTTGTAAATAGCCTCGTTTTTTAGACACCACATTAATACATCACTCACATTCAACCCAAAAAAAAACATATATATATATATATTATATATATATATATATATTCATGGCTGGAAATATTTGTTGTGAATCAACATAAATGAAGAAAAAAAGACACAAGTTTCACTCATAACATTCATCACATCATCATGGGGACATGATGTTTACATCATTTGCCTAAAATATAATACATGCCTCAATATGACAATACATACGACAATACATACGACGGAAACAGTTACACTGTAATCGAAACCATACGACAATACATACGACGGGAGAGATCGGGCCCAATATGTACAATTAAGTGTACGGATTATTGTCCTTGTCGTCTTGGGCAAAAGCATGAACATCAACCGCGAGCTCAAGTGATGTTCCATGGGAAGAACCCTTGGAGTCTCCTTCATTGTTTTGCTCATTATCCCATCTGGGTACGGTCGGTCCATTTTTATATTTGAAGTAGAGGAGAAGCTGGATAATCCCCAATGGGCATCCCACCAAATTAGGCGACTACACACGTGAATGCACAAACATTTGAAATTAGGATAATATATAGACCCATTTTTTGTTATATTGAATTCCCACTTATATGATCGATAATTTTATATATGATATAAAAACATAGATATATATGATGAAAATAGAGTATAATATGGAGGAATAGTAAAAAAAAAAGCACGCACCGCGAGAAAGAGGTCATGGCTGAGTAATCCATAAGCCATCCAAAGAGAGCTGGCGAGGAAGGAGAAGAAAGACAAGTGAAACGGCATGTATTCCACGCTTTCTGTCTCTATCACTTTCTTCTGCCATTTTACATTGATATCATATTATATATTAGGAAAAATCGTATATAAATATCTAAATTTTTACAAAAATCTCATATAAATATCTGAATTATAAAATTTCCATATAAATACCAAAATTTTTCTAAAATTCTATATAAATATGTAGACTTCTGAAAAACTACCAAATAAACTCAAAATCCGTTAATGACATCATCTATTTTTATTTAAAAAATACTTGAAATTTGTATTTATTTGAAAAAAATTTCAAAAGTCTAAAATTTATATAGAATTTTTAAGATTTCAGTTATTTATATGAAAATTTTATAGTTTAGATATTTATGTGAGATTTTCATAAAAACTTAGATATTTATATGCTATTTTTTCTATATATTATAATTATGCACATACATACATATAGGTTTCTATTTCTATGCATATATATATATATATACTCCTATATATGTAATTAAAGTGAAAATGATATTTCCTTCGGAAATCTGTCGGAAAGCGTGTCTTGTCTTAAATTAGAACTTATACCCCAACTAAAACCAGCAAGAACAAAAAAAAATCAAGGGTTTTTTATTTCCTCGTGCAATTAATATTCGTGTCATATATAGTCGCCATATATAGTTTACTCATTGTAAAATGAATCGACTGAAAACGACACTTCCTACAAAAATCTGTCGGAAAACGTGTCTTGAATTAATGTTTTACCCGGGTACCAAAAAAGGCAAATTTATTTATACCACGTGTAACCAATATTAATAACACTTGTGCCATTAATTGCATGTTGTATATATTATAATAATAAGGGAAATCGCCGTAAAAACCATGTACTCTTCACATGTCAACGAAAAAATCTTATACTTTTTTGTTTACCAATTAAACCTTATACTTAGTATGATTAACCGAAAAACCCTCAAACTTGTTAATAATTCACCGAAACCCCTCGACGCCTGCCAATTCAAACAAAAATGATGATGTGACAATGATTTGGCTTCCAAATGATGTACACATCATCAAAATTATGAGAAATCATCATTTTAAATAAAAATAAATAACATAATTTATTTAAATTAATTTATATACATATAAATTCACACATATATATATATAATTGTAGTTATGTGTGTAATATATTGTAGTTATACATATAACATATACATATATAACTAATATACATATTACAATAAAAATAATTATAACTAACATATACACATATAATATATCTATTAAAAATAATATGTATATGTATATGTATTAGTTATACATGTAACATATATATATACAACTAATATGCATATTAAAATAAAAGTAATTATAACGAATATATACACTATATATTAAAAAATAATATATATACAATATACATTAACAAATAATATGTATATATGTATATATATATTATTTTTAATGTAATTTATAATATATATATATATATGTTTTATTAGTTATAAGTAATTTTATATTTAATATATATATATATATGAATTTATATGTATATAAATTAATTAAAATAATTATGTAATTTATTTTTGTTTGTAATGGTGATGTGTCATAATTTTGATGATGTGTACATAACTTGGAAACCAAGTTATTGCCACATCATCATTTTTATTTGAGTTGGCAGGCGCGAGAGGTTTTCGGTGAATTATTAACAAGTTTGAAGTTTTATTGGTTAATCATACCTAGTATAGGGTTTCATTGGTAAGCAAAAAAGTATAAGGTTTTTTCGTTGACCTGGGAAGAGTACAGGGTTTTTATGGCGATATCCCCTAATAATAATAATGAAATGCGACTTACCACAGCGACTAACGGTGAACCGTACATGGCGACGGAGGCGACAAGGCCGACGCTTCCGACGTATATTTTCCGGTGGTGGTGGTCGTGGAATACGGCGGTCGACACGGCGGCGGTGACCGCGAACGCAACCATAACGGGAACAAACGTTGCACAAACCCTAATCTGATGCATATATACATACACACATATAAGTAAATATATATCCTTTTTGTCCAAAATCATTATACATATATATATACATGTATAATTCTTTTGTTATATAGAAGAAACGATCACAGAAAGTTTGTTGCTTTCGCCAATTTGTATATATATTATCTTTCGGAGCACTTAATACACATGGTAGTTGAATGGATATTTCTGACTGCAATTGTATAGAGTTCACTAAAAATACAATTTTGTTCGTTATTTATATCTAAAATTATTTGAATTAAAAATCTAAAATTATTTATTAAATAGTATTTAGGTTTTCGGGTGTGATAGTTTTTTTGTGGGGTAAAAGGCCACCTATTAAAACCATGAAATCATATAATAAGATAACAAAATGTGATTATACGTTTGACGTTGTTATATTAAGGTGTTTGGAATCTGCAAAATAAGATACCGATTGGTAATTTGATAATAATTCTAATAGTTGCACAAAATACCATCACAATTTTGTATAAATTCACTTGTTGCAGAGTTTATATTTGATGACGATATAAGAAGATCCAAAATGAAATTAACAGTATTTAATAACATATTAATCATATAAATATCTAAAACAAAGAATCATAAATCTTGTTTTAAATTCATTTGACGATGTTATATAAAATTTGGAGTCGATTAATTATAAATGTATAAAAAATAAGATTTAGTGTTTAAAGTTTTTTTTATAATCCGGAAATGAGTTTTTGGTCCAACTATATTTTCCAAAGGATCGAAAAAGTCCATATGTATACCCCTTTTCAAATGGAGATTCGAACATGGGTTGAAAAGGAGTTTTTCTCTATTTTTTATCACTTGAGCCATCCAATCTTGGATTTTAATATTTAAAGTTAAATAATTACGTACCTTTCCCTTAAGTGAAGCGAACCAGAAATATATGAGAATGAAAATCGATTGGAGAAAGATGCCGATTCCGTTGATGGTGACGACGAGGAAATTCTCCCAGAGATGGCTCACGACCGGCAGACCGTACCACGTATATATCAAACAGTTCAAGAGCGTTATAACGTACGGGAGGCATGAGAATTCCTCTGTGCTCCTCTTCCTAATCACCCTCGAAAACGTCAATCTACAAAATGAAATTACATGGACCAGAAACAAAGTATGATCTCGGTTAATATGTTGTTCTTTGATGATAATTATTATTATTATTATTATTATTATTATTATTATTATTATTATTATTATTATTATTATTATTATTATTATTATTATTATTATTATTATTATTATTATTATTATTATTATTATTATTATTATTATTATTATTATTATTATTATTATTATTATTATTATTATTATTATTATTATTATTATTATTATATAAAGTCATTAAGCGACAGGAAGAATCTTTGTTATATTGACAATAGGGGAATCAACCAACGTCGTTATTCTAAATCAGAGATTCGGTAATATTTAAAAGTTACGTATTTATATGAAAGTTTCATATAGTTAGCGTATTTGTATGGGAGAAAACAATTCATATATTTCTATCCATTTTTCCTTTAATTATTATTATTATTATTATTTGGGTGTGGGTAGTTGGAGTTTACGTACATGGGAGCCGTGTAGAGCAACAATGAAGCTGCGTTTCCTGTGGAATTAACAAATAAGAACCATGAAAAGATTATAAAAAATATAAATAAATAAAAACCATGAAAAATCATATAAACCCTTCTGTTGTAAAAAAGAAAAAAGAAAAAAAGAAAATCCCAATTACGAAAACGATGATCGGTCCCGAATACGTACGTAACTTAAAAAACGCATGACAAAGAAATGATGGAGAAGTTGACATAATTCTTCTTTCTAGAGATACATATATAAACACAGCATGCATGCATGCATGCATGCATGGTGCATGTTTGGCTTCAGTTATAACTTTAACCAAAAACGTTTGTCATCGATTATAAAAAGGAATTCAGTTTTAATTTTTTGCTCGAATTTAGAATTCGTTAAACATAAATTCAGGAAATAGATAATGGATTACGATTACAGTATATGAAATTAATTTAAATAATAGATAAGGAGAAGAGAAAATACCCATGATACCGACGGCAAGTCGGAGACTGGTGGAGGCCATGTTTTAGGGTTTTTGAGAGTTACGTAAAACAATTGTAAACTACGATGCCATATTTGCATGGACCATTCGAGGCCTTTGAAACGTATAAATAATGGGAGATATCAGTGAGGAAATAAATTGTATTTATGAACCATTTTCTCCCTTTTTGGGGCCTAAAAAAGGGACCCCTGTTTTTTTTCAAATTCTCCAACTTATTTTTATATTTATTTCTAATATAATTAATGTTGTATATGTGATTTGTTCTTTTGTTTAAAAACATAAAATCAGCGAAGAGATGAAAATTAAAAAAAATAAATAAAAACAACTCAATGGACAAATTTAGGTGGCCTTCTCCTCCATAAAATGTGTATATATATACACACATCGCCGTCACCTAAAATATAAAAATTAAATCATTTGTTGCATATATATATACACACACACATCATATATGCAACAAATGATTTGATTTTTATATGATATACCGTGTTTATGAAAACTTTATTTTCATGTCGAGCAACAAATCAAAAACATATTTTGTATTAGCTTCAAAATCTTTTGAAAATAACTAAAAATTATTTACATAGAAAAGACAATTTTTTTTCTTTAATTTTATTACTTCATCTTAAAAATGCTTTAAACATAGGCATGATTTGATAAATTATATAGTGTTAAAAAAGATTTTATATCTAAATGTTTATTAAGCGAATTGGAATGATCCACGTTATTTTGCATGTATAAATCTAAAAGATATGAAATATTCAAATAAAAATATTGTAAGTGTCATTATTGATCAGGTGGTTCATGATTCATGTCACATAAATTATACTAACAATAAATAATAGAGAGCGAGAGGAACATTACGTGACGAAGCTTAGGGAATTCTCTAATAACATTGTTGGAATTATGCTTTAGCTTTACAAATATGTGGATGTGAAAAATAGCTTCTTCTACCATCATCAACAACGATTTAATTAATTTTTGTATTAATATAAGGATTTTCTTAATAAATATTATAAATTAATATAATTTTTTGTAGTCTTGCAGGTCTTCATAAGAAAATTTCATGTGCATAAAGGATATATCTTAGTAGCAGTTGGTCATATTCCAATTACATTAATCTTAGTTATTTAAATTAGTTCATATAAAATAAAAACTAGTCGTAACTATGTATATCTCAATAAAACTAAATTCGTATCTTATATTATTTTTAATACTATTATTAATCCTTCTACTAACAAACGAGATGCATATTAGGAAGAACAAAAGAATAAATTAAAAATAAATAAAAGAAGCCACCTGTTTTTGGGTCTTATGAGATATGTTGTTGGAAACATCGTGGAAATTCCACTGCCCATTTGTGTCCAAATTTACAATAACCCCCACTTTTTCCATTTTTTTAAAATATCTTGTTTTAAATATCAATCAAAACATTATCTCTACCTATATCTTCATTGATTATTGCAATATATATATATATATATATGTGTGTGTGTGTGTGTGTATGTGTGATAATATATTGTTTACAAATCTGTTTGATGAATCCCTTGGAAGGGTTTTCATTTAAGAGTAGTGTATAGAGGCGACCTATTCCATTAATCACATAATAATTGATTCTATCAAAATCAAATAACACAATTATATTCAAGTCTAATTCCGTAGGAAAAATGAATTGATAATATATATGATTGTTCTAAAACCGAAAAAATTGAATCCAAATAATGAAAACGTATTTTTTTAAATAATTTTTGTTATCAATAAAAATTGAAACTAATTCAAACCGAATTAAAACGTTTCAATATTTATAATTTTTTAAATCGAAATATAAGAATTCATATACAACGGAATTAAATGTGAACCTATCCCCAAAAACCCGAAATCGCTACCCTAGTTTGTTTGTTTTGTTAGAATGCCACACCATGACAAATTGGATCTAACTTTAAAATAAACTATAAAACTTTAAAGATCACCATTGTTGATTTGCTAGGTATTGACAACAACTATTTTTTTTGTTAGAAATCATTGTATAAATAAAAAATGCTGATATGATTATTATTGTACTTATAGAAAATTTCAAAAACAAAGAATTCGTCAAAATCTATCAAAAACCTAAGCCAACTTATTGACATATTGACAAATAAATAAGTCAAATATACAAGTAAGTTAGAAAAATACATCAACTCGTAAAATTAGTCAAAATGTCCTATACAAATCATAACGACGTGAAAAATGTAACACATTTCATTCACTGGAAATCTAATGTGACACATCGTGTCAATTTTTTTTTATCGCATCACCATGCCAAATCAATAAAATAAAATTTTAAAATTTTAAAAATTAATATATTAAAATTTTAATAAAATTTAAAATAAAATGTTAATATATATATATATATGCATACGTTGTCTATGTAATATATATACACATATTTATATTTATATATACACACATTATGTTGGTTTAGGCGTTTTGACATATTTCATTTGGATGAATTCATTTTTTTATTATTTAATTTGTATATTTGTTTTATAATAAAATTCGTGGATCATTTTGAACGATATTAAATTCTTCAATCGTTTGTCATCGTGAGAATGATGATAAATTAAAACGAACATGATATATGTATTTGCATTGATCATGGAGATATGTGTATTGGCTAAAGATCATAATCATAAGTACTTGTATGAAACGAGGGATTGGATGAGTCATATGAGATTGTCACATGAACAAGAGTTAGTATTAAATCTCATGTAATGGTTACTTTCGCATCCTCGTAATTGATATTTATATGGTATCCGGCATGATGAATAGTCTGTTTCTACTTAGTTACACGTAGTTTTTAACTGAATTATTATAATGATGTTATTCAAATACGTTACGAATCATGTCAAGAATATTATAGATAGTTAAGATGGAATTTATCTTCTTATTTCGAGAGAGATATTATTAGGTCTCTCGAATGAGTATGAATACAGTAAATGTGTAGTTGCACTACAAATGCTAAATATCTAGTATTTATAATATGCTTAATGAACGAGAAAAATGGTTGAATTTGATAAGATGACTAGTTCAAAATGTCTTATGTTCGATATATTGTATCGCGTGATGAAAGGATTATTACTAGACTTATTATCACCATTTAAGTTAGGTCACATCTATCCCTATTCAGTTATACATAGTTCATAGTGTTTTAATAGAAGTCGTCTATGATTTGTTGAACGGAATTGAATTCCGGCACTACTCAGTCTAGATAAGAGTATCTCGGGCCGAGTAGAAGGTTTGTTCAAAAACCAGAGTCGATGATAAACCGAGTAAAATGTTGTTCAGCCGAACAAGTTGAAATAGAATTACTTTAAGAGTTGGCTTGGGCCGAGCGTTTTTCTTCTCGACTGAGCATTTCATATTCGAGTGATTTTCTCCGAGAGTATGCTTGGTCTGAGCAGCTTACTGCTCGAGCGAGCAACTTGGTTGTGTGGATAAGTGCTTGGTCGAGCAGAAAAAACGCTCGGACTGGGCACAATTTTGTATAAATTCTGAATCCGATCAAGGTTAGTATTTTTTACTTAGTTATAAAAAGATGTACCAAACTGTTGGAATACGACGTGTCACGTCTTAAAATATTTTTTTATAATCTAAAAATTCGATGAATTTTTGACCCAACTACATTTCACAGATGAATACTCATCCCTAATTGAAGATTGGAATCTGGATTGGGAAGAAGGTTTGTCTTATCCATTACTAGTTGAGCTATCCAATATTGGGTATCTTAATCTTGATCGAATTAGAAATTTACACAATTATAAGACGTAGTTTAAAATTAAATTAATAAATATAATAGATAGATTTATTGATCTATAAATTAATAACCTAATATTTTTTATTTTTATAATATCTATAAATAAGAATTCTAAATCTTATAATTTGTGAAATAAAAATTAAAATAAAAAATAGAAAATACTAACAAAACAGTTATTAATATATTTTTCATCATTCGGTATTTCAAAATTTTGTGATAATTTTAGAAAATCTCTATCTATAACCTCAATCATAAAAAAATTGACGAATATTTATGGTGAAATAGAAAAATAAGAAAAATTATATATTTTAAGTATATCAAATTGAAAAATATGAAAAATCGTATTTGAATATATTGAAAAATCTTTTTCTTCTTTTGGTAAAAATATACTGAAAATAAAGTCTTTATAAAGATTGAATAAAAATAAAAAAACTAAATTAAAAATGGATGTATATTTTTAAATTTTGTTGATATTATATTAAGAATTTATGAATTTATCTTTAAAAAACAAATAAAACTCGTATTTTCTACTAGTTGGATTGGGATAGCCCGTGGATTTGGAGCCAATTGATAGATCTAAATGTTAGTGGATCATTTTAAAGTTTATTGTTTTTCTTTATTATATCTAGTTTGGAAAAAATATTTATTTAATTTTTTGTGTATAGTATATATAACGACTCGAGTCCGTTACGAATTGATAGAACTGTCCCCACACACCAACACGAGACCTTTTAGCGTATTTTGTCCTCACTCATACACGTCTCGGAAAGTATTTTCCAGGAGGTCACACATCTTAAAACTACTCCAAAGCGAGCACGTTTAACTTTAGAGTTCTCTCAAATGGGTAACCGAAAAGGTAGATGCATCTTATTGCTATAAATAGTTCAATTAATTTCTTTAAGTTATCTTTGACTGTGTAGTCCCATACCTATATAGCCCTCGGATCCCTCTCATTCCAGTGCGTTCGATTCATCCGTGTACCCCTACCTAGAAGCTCGTCAGGAGTTGTTTGTTGTCTGTGCCTCTCGCACCGACGATCACTCCTTGCCCTCCTACGGTATCCTAGGCTGTCACAAGCCCACCAGTTTCCCCATGGTTCATCCCCGAATCGCACCGTACTCGGAGAGTACTGGCTCTGATATTATTTGTAACAATCCGAGTCCACTACGGAATGATAGAACTGTCCTCACACACCAACACGAGACTTTTTAGCGTGTTTTGTCCCCACTCGCATACATCCCAGAAAGTACTTCCTAGGAGATCACTCATTCTAAGACTACTCCAAACGAG